GCAAAAATCTGTCCCTCTCAGAACATTTTAGATCTTGCTTCCCGAATTGTCATCAGTTTTGGCTTAAGTGAATCTTATAAAAATTCTCTATGGGTTTGGACGTTTCTTACTTTGACATAACTGCTTCTGGGAAAGAGGCTGGGGTTGGGGGCTGGACTAGAGAGAAGATGTATTTTTCACTGTACATTTTTTCCACTATTTGGATTTTTTTTTTTTTTCAGTCCAGTGGGAGAGGCCGCAGCTGGAGTGCAAGGTATTAAGGGATAATCTAAACCAAGAAATGCACAGGATGGAGGTGGGAGAGCAGCATCTGGGCTCATCTTTCCTTTTTTTTTTAAGCCTGATCACAGCCTCCCCCTCTCTCCCACTTCTTACTTATCACTGTTTCAGGGTTGGAGAATAAGGCTCAAGGGAAATAGTCATAAAATAAGAAGGAAACATGAGCAGGGGAAGGCGAGGCGGCAGATTCTGCGCCATGCTGACCTTGACTGGGAGTGCAGAACCCTAGCCACCGCCTCCTTCCTGCTGGCCGCCTGCTGAGGATTTCCTGCCTCCAGACATTCCTCTAAAAGCACCTCCCGTGAACCTTTTTTGGGCCTTGGACTTTCTCTTAAACTGGCTTGAAATTGCCCTAGGAACTTCTCAGACATTGAGGCACTGAAAGAAATCTTATAAACAGCCTACAAAATCTTTGCGGAAATGGAAAACTTTACTCTCACTGAACAAGTAATCAACCATTATTCTCCAAAGGGCCATTTCCTCTTTGTGAGCACAGAAGCCCATTTTGGAGACTTCATAAATGTAACTGTTTTATAAATGAGCGGCCTTCAGAAGGGCCACTCCACCATTCAAGATGGAAGCAGCAGACCAGGAAATAAGGGTGTCTGGCAGTCATGGGACAATTCCTTTAGCTCTGAGAAATGGTCTGTGCTGCCTTTTAGGCTGTGATACTTAAAATCGGGCAAAGCAATTCCCAAACCCAAAGTGTTATTAATAGTTTAATCATCAACAGAAAGATCCGGCTGATTTAAATTTCAGAGGGAAAATATTGCTTTAACGAGAGTCAAGTTCTATCTTTTTCCGGATGAACCAAGATGCAAAGAGTTCAAAGGAAGTCAGCGGCCATTTTCGCAAACTATAAAAGCAATACAATGTAGAATTATAGTTGTAATCATGGAAAAGATTGGCAGCAGTTCTATAGTCGCCGTTAAAAGTGGGTGGCAGTGGTTTTTAACCTTTTTTTTTTTGAGTCTGAGCTGTCTTTTAGACTCTGATGAAAATGTAGGTGGAGAGTTAGAAGGGGGAAACCAAATCCTTTCTCTC